TGCGCGGCCGCGCAGCCACGCACCTTAGAGGGAACAGTGGCCTGATGCATGGATGTGTAGAAGGCAGAGGAAAGGAGAGGAGAGCAGTGGAAATCTGTGGGCTGATCCTTGGGACGGAAGAGCCACCACTGCTAGTGAAGCTCAACCCTAGCTCTAGGGATAAAAGGCATAGGGCAGAGATGAATAGATGTGGCATGCAACTATTCAACTTCTGGCTGGCCACACTTGTTATCCGGCTGTGAAAGAAAACGTTTTTGATGGGGCTGCTGGCGCTCCTAATAAAGGAAACTTGGAGTTAATTTCAGAGAGTTGGCCATGTTTGGGGAGCTGGGTCAGAACAATGGCAGTGTTGTGTTTTCTGCAGAGCCCCCGTTGGTGAAAGTATCTCGCAGGATCCAGTACAACAGTATGGAGACCCTCGTCTGCCGAATCTATGGCTTTTATCCCAAAGAGATAGATGCCACCTGGAAGAAGGATGGAGAGGTCTGGGAGCAGGACACCTACCGTGGAGGTGTCCTTCCAAATTCAGACGGGACCTACCATACCTGGCTGAGCATCGAGGTTGACCCGAAGGAGAGGGACCGCTATCGGTGTTATGTGGACCACCCCGGACTGCCGGAGCCTCTGATCTTGGCCTGGGTGGAGCCTGGTGAGAGAAAGGGAGTGGGGGGTCACCAGTTATGAGCAAAGGTGTCTCTGAAACTTCACATAGCTGTGGACATTCAAACTAATGAATGTCATGATGCAGTTCAATGAATCAATAGAACGAATTGCCTCCAGAAGTTCTGAATGCTCCAACAACGGATGTTTTTAAGCAGAGATTGGATAACCATTTGTCAGAAATGTTATAGGGTATCCTGCTGAGCAGGAGGTTGGACTAGAAGGCCTCCAAGGTCCCTTTCAGGTCTAATCTGATTGATGGAGGCACCGTATTTTTTGGAGTATAAGACGCACCTTTTCTCCTCAAAAAAGAGGCTGAAAATCTGGGTGCGTCTTGAATACAGCATTTTTTGCCTTCTGAAACCCCGCCGCTTCACCAAAATGGCCGTGCAGAGCCTTATGGAGGCTTCAGAGAGTTCCTGGGGGCTGGGCAGGGCAGAAATGAGCAAAAAAATGGGCCGTCAGGAGCACTCTATAAGCCTCCTAAAGGCTATCCATGCCCTTTTTAAAAAAAAAAAAAAAAATGGGCCCGTTTTCTGAAAAACAGGCTGTTCTTTGCTCCTTCCCCCCTCGGAGTACTCTGCAAGGCTCCTAAAGGCTATCCATGGCCTTTTTTTAAAAAAAGGGCCATTTTTGGGAGCTTTGCAGAGTGCAAAAATGTTTTTTAAAATTTGCCTCTTCAAAACTTTTACTCCGGTGTGTCTTATACTCAAAAAATACGATAATTCAATCCACTGCTTTGCTCTACGCAGGCGTCCAACATAAACCATCCCAGAAAGATGGCTGTTCAGCTCTTCCTCGGAGAAATCCATCATCTCTGTGGAACAGAGATTCTGTTCCTACTACTAGGAATCTTTTCTTAATGTGACTAGGTTAACTTCGTCTTGGCTGCAGGGGTGGGATTGAAAAATGTTAGTCACCGGTTCTCTGCCTGGTTGCTGGGTGGGCGTGGCCATGATGGGCATGGCCTACTTCTGCACCATGGGGGGAGTGTTTTCACCCTCCCCAGGCTCCGGAGGCTTCCCACGAGCCTCCAGGAGAGGAAAATGGCCACCTCCGGGCTCCGGAGGCCGGAAACAGGCCCATTTTTGGACTTCCAGAACTTCTGGTAGATTCATCTTTTGCCCTCCCCAGGCTCTGGAGGCTTTTCTTGGGCCTCTGAGAGGGCAAAAACAGCCTCCCTGGGGCTTCTGGAACTTCTGGGAGGCCCATTTTTTGCCCTCCCCAGGCTCTGGTGGCTTTTCTTGGGCCTCTGAGAGG